CAGTTTTTCCTTTCTCTGTAGCACCCGTTTTCATCTTACAAATATACCTCAGATCTTTCTGAAGATATAACTAGATTTTAAAGTTACTTTTTCCATTTTGACTTTGTTTCCTCCAGAATTGGGTGCAGTTTTCCAATCTCCTAATTCTAATTGGTAATTTTTTCTTACATACATCTTCCTTGGCCCTCCCCCCCACTCTCCCCCCGCCCCCCACCCAATGCTCAATGTCTGGTAATTCCTAGCTGACCAGTTGTATTAAGCATCAATATAACTGTCGACTTTTATAGGAGTTGATATGGGTTTCCTCTGTCATTGTATGGTTTGGTCTGTTTTCCAGTAAGCTTCTTCTATGACTGGAAACACTTGGTTACTTGAGTAGGGGGGGTTTCAACTGTCAGTAAAGAATTAGCTGATAGGCTAAGGGATCACTTATTTACACAAAAAGAAATTTCATTCTGAAGCACCAACTCCTACCTCTCTCGGGCAATTTATTCAATTTCTTTATATAAACAACAACAACAACAATAATAGCAACAACAGAGTTCTCACTGGTACCAATAGTTGACTGCCTGTATTCTATGCACAAGGGATAGGGTAGAATGCGATGGGGTTCAATTTTACAACTGGTGTAATTGTTTAGTAGATAGACTTTTTAGGTGCCCAAGCCTCTCTGTGGTTATGATATTCAGATCAGCTTATATTCTCTCTGAAAGGTACCTTCACTCTTTCATTCTTTTTTCAAACTTCATCCACTTTCTGTCCAGAAATGTGTTGAGGTCTTCTTCATTCATAACCAAATGCCTTCCAGTTTTCTTTTACTTCAATTTCAGTGGGGCCTGTAGAGGGAGGAGAGGTAAATTTGTATGTTCAGTTCATCATCTTAAATTCAAACTAGCACTGGAAGCTTTTAAGTAAGGAGGTGGTATGGATAGTTTTACATTTTTAAGATATCCCCAGGGCTGTACTGATGAAAATGGATTAAAGAGGGCAAGAATAGATATAAGTATTATTCTAAATAACTGAGGATCTAATTTCCTTTCTGAGAACATGCAATGTCTGGAACTTTGGGGAGTCAGGCACTTCATCAAAATAACCCATTATTCAAAATCCAATAAGCTAGTAGATGCTTTCTTGGTGCCCTAGAGGGAAGGACTGAAACCTGAATAACCTGAAACCTAAAAAGAGTTGGATGACACTAAAGGGATCATCCCAGCTCTGTCTATTGGGAAACACTTCAGGAGCCTACCTCAGATTCTTCCTTTGAACTGGAATTTGGGATAAACAAAGGTATTTTTTGTTCTGATAAAATTAGATGAGGAGCAAGTACAAGCAGCCAAAGTGCTGGCAAGTAGGGACATAAAGATATCTCTATTTGCTGGTTGGTTTCTTCATTTACTCATTTATTTTGTTATTCAAAGCACTGTAGTTACTAACACCCACTGTAATCAGAATGCCCAGGTTCAAATCCCAGCTCTATCACTTGTTGGCAGTGTAGCCTTAGGCACTTAAATTGCCCTCCATAAAATTCAGTTTGCTCATTCCTAAAAAAGGAGCAGTAAATTTCCATCTTATAAGATCACTGTGAGGATTTAATGAAACTATATATATAAAGGAACCAGTCCAATAACTGGCATGTACTTGACATCCCACTAATCGATAGAAATTATTATTATTTTTTTGTAATCCTCACCTGAGGATATTTCTTCCATTGACTTTTTGTAGAGAGAGAGTGGGGGGGGGGGAAGGAGACACAGAGAGGGAGAGAGAGGAAGAGAGAGAGAGACAGGAACATTGATGTGAGAGAGACACATCGATTGATTGTCTCCTGTGTGTGTCCCAACCGGGGCCAGGAATCGAGCCTGCAACTGAGGTACGTGCCCTTGACCAGGAATTGAATATTTGACCCATTGGTCTGCAGACCAATGCTCTAACCACTGAACAAACTGGCCAGGGGTTGATAGCAATTATTTTAAAGGTTGAATGGACATTCAACATCTATGTTTAAAGCACCCAGATGAAAGATATTCATGAAATAAGGGAAAATACTTCTATGATTGAGAAATGACATAATAAAAAATCCAGCCTTAGCCAGTTTGGCTCAGTGGATAGGGCGTCGGCCTGTGGACTGAAGGGTCCCTGGTTCGATTCCAGTTAAGGGCACAAGCCTGGGTTGCAGCTCAATCTTCAGTAGGGGGCGTGCAGGAGGCAGCTGATCAATGATTCTCTCTCATCATTGATGTTTTTCTCTCTCTCCCTCTCCCTTCCCCTCTGAAATCAATAAAAATATATTTTAAAAAATCCAAAGAAAAACATCTAGGTCAAATCTTATTATTTATGCACCCACCCAGTTTTCAGTAAAGCAAATAAAATGGTGTATTACAATAACTAAATAAAAAGAAGTGAGCTAAAAGAAAACTGGCTGGATGTATACAACATTAATCCTACATCCTCGACTCTAGTTGAAACTACAAAGAAATGGGAGTTTCTGAATATGATTAGAAGAACATTTAAGAAAATCTTTTAATCAAGTGAAATTCGAGTTGGTTATATCTAGTTCTCTTATTCCAAAGTAAATATTTCTATTTCTATACTGTGTGAACTTAATCTGCCCAACTAGTAAGTAACTCTTGACAATGATATAAATCTGTGTCACTATGGAAATATAAACACCAACACTGAGCCAGTTGCCCATTGTTTGCTAAAGACAAGCATCCTCCTGGAATTTTCCTGAGTTTTCAAGTGTCATCCACTCTTTATTTAATCAAAGATGGAATTCTACCTGAACAATGGAACTGAGTAAAGAGCCCAAAACCCTAAGTAGCTTGTAAAACCCTATGAATTTAGAGCCCTTCCTTTAGATCATAAAGCAACTACCAGACTCCTTTCAGAGGTTGGTGTAGGAAGTGTAGGAGGGCATAGGATTAATTACACTGTTTTTGTAAAAGCCATCTAAAAGTGAAGTCTAGTTCTCCAATGATAGTGAGTTAATTAGATAATAATAATAATGGCAGTTGACATTTTCTTTGTACCTACTAACGGCCAGCTAACTGTTCTAATCACTTTTAGATGCACTAAAATTTAATCCTCACAATAATCCTATGAAATCAATCCCATTTTAGAGATGAGGAAATTGAGTGACAGAGAAATTAAGGAACTTGCCCAGAGTCATACAACTAACAGGTGAAAGAACCAGGATTTGGAGGCAGGGGAGTCAACTGTGAGAGTTGATGATCTTAACCTCTAGGCTATGGAAAGTAGTCAGCTCACTACTCTGTGAAACAGCATAAAATAAAGCATTCCCTTGGACAGCATGCACTGTATTCACAAACCTCTTCAGAATTACTGAGTCTCTATGACAACCCGTGGGGTAGGAATTTTTATCCTCATCGTATACACAAAGAAATAAGAATACCAAAATAAAACAACTTTCCTAAGAGCTAACCCTAGCTATGGGTTCTATTTCACCAGATTACTTTTCAAGCTCTTTGAAAACTACCCAATACACAAAATATATGAGTCCTCAGGGAGCTATGAAAATTATGATAAATTTGTATTTCAGTTGGGTTCTATGGTCAGGGTTTTTGGAATAACTCATTAAAAATAAAATCCAGTGAGTCCTCAGGATGTCAGGATGAGAACTACTCTCTGTGGGCTATGGGCCATGATGGTGAACCAAGGGCTAGCATAGAAAGCTCTCAGAACTGGCCCAATTAGGGTTAGGAGTGAATCTGATAGCAGAGAGCTGAGGAACAAGACTCATAAACAGAAGGCCTTGCCCCTGAGAAATTCTGATTCCACTTTCTTACTGTGTTTTTAACCCACTTTCGAGAGACAGAACTAGGGCAGTGAGCCCAGAGGACAAGGCTAGAGCCCTAAGAGACAGAGGCTGAGGAGTGAATCCTTGTCCCTGTCTACCACCCCACACCTCTCTATCTGCCACCTTGCTGGGCACTCCTTACATCTGTGTGAGGAGGTACAATTTCATAATATTTTCCTTCCATTCAGGCAGATAGGCCAGGCTGGTAGCCACTTCCTTCTGGATTGGCCAGGCCCAGGCCTCAAAGAAGGGAGCCAGATTCTTCTGCACTTGGTGGGAGAACATCTTCACCCACAGATTCATCTTGTCAACATTGTCGGTGGGCAAGTTGGTCTGGTTACGATACTCAGTGAAGAGACGGATGAAGGGCTCCCAACCAAAGGCTTCCTGGAGCTGAAAAGAGAAGGATGAGGCAGGATGAGACAGGTAGTCTACAACAAGAAGACCTAAAAAACACTCTGATAAATGAATTTACTGCACTGAACCCCTTCAACACTAATTGCATGGCTATGATGGACCCTCTTTCCTGTTTTACCTGCTGCCTTCATTCCCTAACTCTCTCATATTTGAATCTTAAGAAGGGCCTCTCGCCCAGCTGGTGTGGCTCAGTGGTTGAGTGTCGACCGAAGCACCAGAAGGTGGTTGGTTCAATGCCTGATCAGGGCACATGCCCTGGTTGCAGGCTTGATCCCCAGTAGGGGGCATACAGGAAGCAAATAATACGTTTCTCTCTCTCTCTCCCTTCCTCTCTCTGAAATCAATTTTTAAAAAAGGGGCCTCTCAGCTAGCACAGTGCTCAGCACAAAGCAGACACTCAATAAATGATTGTGTGTTGTGCTTGTGGGGCTGAGGCAGTTAAATCTATCATTATTCATATATCTCACTAGATTATGTAATATCTCATTAGGATATTACACAAAGCTTTAAAATGGGCTGGCATGAAAAAAGAATCCTTATATCTTTCATAGTTGCAAAGTTAAACCCAATATTTGGGGAACTCCTATCCTGACATAATCCTCATTAATCATAGGTCTTTGTTAATTTACAAGGCAACTAAAATGGCCTGGGGGGGGGGAGTGAGTCTGGTAGAAGCAGAATACTATATATATTCTAGGTAGCTAGAGTTAAGAGTATCATTTCAGAAAGGCACCCATCCTGAGACCATTGGAAACAGCCCATGTTAGGCTGGGTTATAGAGCTTTAGCATGAAAAGAGACATTAGCAGTTCCCTAGAACAACCTCAACTTTATGTCACAGATGTGAAACTTCTGTCCCTGGGGTGAAGTGGCCCTAATGACAAGTTTAAGTAGAGTCTCCCAGGCAGTTTCACTGTCATTCTCAAGGCCACGGGAATAAACACAGAGGAACTGGAGCGGTGGAGAAACCAGACTACACAGTGTGACTGGTCTGGGATTGAGTTCTAGAATCCAAGGTGATGAAACTCTCCACAATGAACTGGGAACTAATCCAGGGACTCAGGGGCAGAACTGGGGTGTTTGAATGATAATTCAAGGCAAAGGCAACCTCCATGTCCAGGCCAGGGAGAAATCTTAGATCGCCTATAAGGTGGAAACAGGCACAGCCAAATCATATTGAGAAGATGGTATACTCATCTGAGGAAAAAAAATGTTCTATCCCATATTTGTTTTGTGTGTGGGGAGGCTTTTTGGTTTTAGATAGCTATTAAATAGCAGTCAGTGGTGTCAATTGGTGTCAATCTCGGTTATGTCTGGTCTAAAGCCTGTGATAGTAACTGTATTTATAGCAATACACATGCCTCTATCATGTTTTCACCTCTCTCAGTGCTTCCCATCTATTCTCTTGCATTTCTTCAAGTTCATAGGGTGAGGGTGGGGATGAGGCAGTTAACTCTACTTAGGATCATGCAAAATGATATACCGAGAGGCATCATCTAATAGGACTGTCACAATTGGGCTTTGTCAGGGTCTCCTGAGGCCTAGCATGGGAGACAGGTGTAGTGGGAGGTCTTCTGGGTCACAAGAACATCACCTAACAATGATGCTCTGGTATCCCCAGAATAAAGGGTTCCCATCACCCTTCCTTTTTGCCTAGTATACCTGTAAGTATGTTTCCAGGGCTGTCCACGCATTCCAGTTTTTCAGATTGGGACCCTTGCTCAGGTAGATTCTGACTCTTTTCTCCCGAACTGGGGGCCACAGGGCAATATTGGCACGGCCTCGAGGAATGCCCAAGACCGTTTCGTGAACATAAACACACCACAGGTTGCAGGTGGCCTCAGTGGTGTGTGGTGGGAATTCCCACTCCTGCCGCTGCTGGTTTCGGCCGAGCTCATGGACAGGGCCCCATAGCCCCTTGGTTCTGATGAGTTTTTCATTGATGAGCTCCTGCACTGACTCCAGGTGGCACATGATGGGGTACCCCGCATGCATCCAGCCTGAAAATAGAGGAGGGAGGTAGAGGGTTAGAGCGCTCCCCACATATCTTACAAAGTTCTTCTCTGTTTTGTATCTCCCAAAATACTTAGTAACCCCAATGGCTTCCAGAACCCCGTACTGCTCAGAAGATCAATCCAAATCCAGGGCTTTCCTCCTTATCCTCTCACTCTGTAATGATCCCTCATCCTCACTCTGACCTGAGAGCATGTGCTTATGGGAGGTGATGCAGGTCCCAAATCACTGTTCATGTTACTTCTCAAGATTTCTATGTTTATAAGAGTGCCCTGTCCATGGGAACCTATGTCATTATACTCTTTTCTCAAAATTAAGAATTAATTGAGGGTGTTCCCTTCTTGTCATTTAGATGTGGAGTTGCCCACATTAATATTACTTTATAGTGATTGTAAGCCAAAAAAACCTAGAGTCTAGAGCAATGTCCATGCTTATTTAATTTCTATAGACCCACCTATAGAAATAAAATTTCTATAGGCCCCAATTTTTTAGGCCTCCTGGCTCACTGGTAAAACACCATCAAAATATCACTTTAAATGTCTTCCTCAATGTCTATTGAGGGCACACACAATATATTAATTATCCATTCCATAATTATTGGACATTTAGGTAGTTTCCAAATTTTGTGAAAGTCACTGAGTCTATTCTTTTTTAAATACACCTTTTTCCTTTTCATTTAAATAATAAGGATTACATCTTATTTGTCTGCTAGAAAAGCATGTTTACCCTGCTGGCTGCCCAATGCATGGCCTTTGGGAGAAAGAAGTCCCACAGGGCTGCTTGGAACAGGGCACCCACCTACTGAAATCTGCACATCGGCAACAATCCTCTGAGGCAGACGCAAGGGGAAGGGCTCAGCCCCCAGCCGTGCCACAGCCTGCATCACCTCATCCCAGAGGCGAAGCACCGGCTCAGGATTATCCAGTGTGCGAAGGTTGGCGGTTGGCACTGTCAGGATGATGTTGTCCGTAGCCAGCTCTCCCCAGGGACCTGGATTCTCCTGGAGACACCTCTTCCACTCCTCCAGGGATGTCTCCCCTGAGAAGAGAGGCCATGGGGTTGGAATGCCCTTTTCCGAATCCCTTAGGTTAAAACACCTAACTTGAACCCCAGGAGGAGAACACCAAGGCCATGAACAACCATGTCCCCATCTCCCTCCTTTTTCTATGGCATCCCCATGGATGTGGGTTGGTCTATCTCCTTGGCCCCAAAGATGAATCTAAGGAGGCTTACCTTCCTTCTTTCCTCCAATCTGAATCTTTCTCTTCCTGCACCAAACAGTCCCAGTGTCCTCCTCACCCCCAACTCTCCTGTCCCAGGGTTCACTCCATAGCGCACACTCACCCAATTTGTAGAATGGAGCATGCACAGCCCCTTTCACAGTGATGGCCACAGAACCCAGCTTGCTGCTCTGAGGCACGATGATGTAGAGGAGGCCGCCCCAGAGGCAGGTGATTGATTTTGTGGGCTTGTCCAAGCAGCATCGGTTGATTACCAGTGGGCCTCGGAACAGCTTGCTGGCCCTGGTCAGGTCATCTGTGTGGCAGCCAATCTGTATCTGGAGCAGAGATACCCCCCCACAGAGTCACCTCAAGTGCATGCAGTGGAAGAGGATAATGCCCATGAGGTGGGGACAGGAAGGGCACCAGGCTATATGACCCCATGTCTATGAACTGTGTATGCTAAACCTATGGAATTACATCATTCTTTAGGTGGTATGGACTGAATGGTGTGAAAATACCCTCCCAGGGGAGTCAAACAGCTCTACTAAGGTGATGTTAAGATGCTGATGTGAGGGCACTAGGTGTTCCACGATGGGGACTCTGGTGTTGGCAATGGGATGGAAGGGATCCAGCCTTTTGCTGACTCCAGAGGAGGCCCAGTGGCATCTAGTGTGACAGGCTGATGTGGTAGAGGATTGACTCAGTTCCGATCTATAAGACTCCCCTTCCTGAGCCAGTGGAGTGACCCTTGTTTTTGGTGGAGTCCTAGAATTGTTTTCCTGGGTTTATGCTAATCAAACTCTAGGATAAATGCAGGCACAGAATAAGTCCTGTCACAGAGACCCTCAAGGGAGACAGAGCAGCACTGGAACTTAATATGTGACTAGGGTATGTATATGTGCAAGTGACAGAGCTGAGGGGGCCAGGGATAGCAAGGAACAGTCTTTGGCATCCCAGGAAGAAGCTGGAGTAAGAAAGGCCTTTTGCTACAGTGGGAGATACATATGAGATGGAAGTGAACTAAGGTTTACTGAATACCACTGTGTGCTAGGGCGCCTTCCACATGGCACCTTTCCTATTCCCTACTCTATGATATCAGTGAAACGCACAAAACTTCAGGGTGAGGAGGTGATTAGGTTTGAGTCCTGGCTCTGAAATATATCAGATCTATACATTTCAATCAATCACTTAACTGTTCTGCATGTTAGTTGCCTCATCCTTAAAATGGGGGTAAAAGTACATGCCCCATATTGCCAGTAGAGTTTTTATGAGGATCAAGATGCCAACTGTGAAAGCAAGAACATTTGGGCTCCATGTTTCCTGGGGAGGTGGGGTGTGGCCTTACCTTCAGGTCAGCAGAGGCAGCAGCTTCAGGCAGGGAGACCTCTATAATTTGCCTTCCAGGTATGTACAGCCCAGTGCTCATCCAGCAATATCGGGTGCCTGTCAAAAGCATGGAAGGACTTTACTCCCCCTCCATAATCCCATCTCCATCCAGCATCTCCACAGGCCCTTCATGAGTTCTGTACATCTTTCCAGTCCACGCTGCCCTGACTCAACTCTTGCAAACATTACCTAATGCCCCAATCCCTATCTCCTTAAAAGTACATGGCAAAGGGTGGAGGTGGCCTTCTGGAAGTGATCAGGTCCCTGAAATGAGCTAAGTCACCATGTCTCAGTCCCCCAACCCTGAGCTCCCACCCCTACTTCCATACCTGGATTGTTGCAGTTGACCTGAACGGTGATAGGAGATTCAGAGGGGCGCAGGTAGGAGCTGCTGTACATGTCTTCAATTTCTGGGACTAACAGAGAGAGGTCACTCCCAGAGTGGGCTAGACCTGTGGCCAGGGAGAGCATAGCACCCCTGCAGCAGTCATTGATGACTGGGTTCTCTCGGGTCGCCACTGGGAGCCGGTATCGACTCAGCAGCTTCCTGAGGAGCCGATGCACAGACATATAGGCAGGGATCTCTTCTGCAGGGATCTGCAGGAAAGCTGCGCCATCCGGCCCCAGCTTTGCCAACCACCCCTTTTCCACATTCCCTCTCTTCCTGCCCATTATAACCTGGAACTCAGCCAGAGTGGAGCGGAAGTGATAGGTCCTTATCCCCGCTTTCGGAGTACGAAAGGGCCCTGGATTGAGGCTTTGGCTTGTGATACTGATGCCAAGGGGGTTGAGCAGGAGGTTCCCTGGGAACCGAGCCAGAGGCGACACTCCGGGGTTCTTGAAGGCCCACCACCAGGCTTGGGCTGCAACAAACAGGCCCCCGCCCTCAGCTACAAATTCCTGCAGCTCCTTGACTCCCACATCACTCGTGGGCTCAAAACAATAGACACTCGCATCACTGGTCAGATTGGGCTCAATGCTGGTGTCTATGCCTCCCACTGCAAGCAGACCACTCATTGTCCTTAGTTCCGTCTGCACCACGATCTTGCCTCGGCGGCCTGCGTCCAGCCAACGCACAGCATTGAGCAGAAAGGGGCCCAGTTTACCCACGGTGAATAGTACCTTGTGGCCCATCACTACCACCCGGCCCCGGCCATAGCGGGCAGCCGCTATAACACAACCGTGGTAGGAATCTAACCCCAGGGGAAAGGCTAAAGCTCCATGCACTAGCAGCTGGGAGGGGAAACAATCCGAGTTGCTGATGTCCAGCTCAGAAATGCCGTGCAGAAGCTCCTCTCTGTCCTCGGAGAGATCGTCTTCACAACTGCAAAAAAGACACATGTTCTCTTAAAGGAGAGGCTCTGCAGATAGCTCTAGAACAGTGCCTGGCATATAGCAAGAGTCAGCTTTACTAATATTATCATCCTTAGCTCTTCCAGGAGAGCGGGAGAACCTAGTGGGCAGATCTGACCTCAATGGGTATGGAGACTCCTTTGAGGGAAGACAGAGGGACTCAGCAATAATTCTGCTCTGCTTAATCTCTGTGTATAAATTCTCCACAGGAAATCTCGAAGAAAGCCTTGCTGTGTTTACCCAACACTATATGTGAGATATTCTGGATTTAAGTGTTAAAAGTGCCCGTTAAGCATTACATAAAGAACTGGCCTGGCTGGTGTGGCTCAGTGGTTGTGTCAACCTATGAACTAGGAGGTCAGAGTTCTATTCCTGGGCAGGGCACATGTCCGTGTTTCAGGTTCCATCCCCAGTGGGTGATGTGCAGGAGGCAGCTGATCAATAATTCTCTCTCATTATTGATGTTTCTATCTCTCTCTCTCCCTTTCCCTTCCTTTCTGAAGTCAATAAAAATATATTAAACAACAACAACAAAAGAACTGAATGGAAAATCATCTTTTCATCCTTATAAGGAGTCTTGTTTATAAATTTCATGCTATTAGTTTTCTGGAAAAAACCTCAATGGACAGCTGAGTTCATCGTGCTGTTAGAATCACTATTATCTCAAAACTAGAGGCCCAGTGCATGAAATTCATGCATGGTTAGGGTCCCTAGGCCTGGCTGGCGATCAGGGACAATTGGGGCCTTCCTTCCCTGGCTGCCAAATGGGGCCTTCCTTCATTCCACGCCAGTCCCTGGTGATCAGCACATGTCATAGTGAGGGATCGAACTCCGGGTCTCCCGGTCAAACTCCTGAGGGGACACTTTGCATATTAGCCTTTTATATATATAGATGTGGGCCAGGGGAGCTGACTAGACTCAATTCTAGTGAGACCCGCCTGTTACCTGAACCCAAGAGGACTGACTGTCTACTCCAGCTCTTCACCCATTCATTGCCATCCCACAGGACTGTTGCATATCCATGCTATATGTTTTTTCAGAGCACCATCTGTTCCTGCCCAAAATGCAGATGGAGCCTGTGGGATTATTAGGGAATATGGGGGCAGAGTGACCTCTATAAGCTGAGATCCCAGTGGTATAGATCCCTATACCATTTGTGATAGGTAAGGCTATGGCAACTGTATGGTCAGAAGGAAGCTGCAAGGAAACACTGAAAAACAATGAAGTTTAGCTTCTGCATTTAAGTCTAGATCAATTTTTAATTATTTATTATGTATGGAGTGGGATACATTTCGAGATTTATTTATCCCCCATAAGGGTTTCAGAACCATCTGTTGAAAAGATTTTTAGCACCTTGCCAAAAAATAATTGAGCATAAAACTGTGGGTCTATTTTTTAAATGTCTAGTCCAGTGGTTCTCAACTTCCTAATGCCATGACCCTTTAATACAGTTCCTCATGTTGTGGTGACCCCCAACCATAAAATTATTTTCGTTGCTACTTCATAACTGTAATTTTGCTACTGTTATGAATCATAATGTAAATATCTGATATGCAGAATGTATTTTCATTGTTACAAATTGAACATAATTAAAGCATAGTGATTAATCACAAAAACGATATGTAATTATATATGTGTTTTCCAATGGTCTTAGGTGACCCCTGTGAAAGGGTCGTTCGACCCCCAAATGGGTCGCGACTCACAGGTTGAGAACCGCTGATCTAGTCTGTTTCATTCATCTGTATTTCTATCCTTATGCCAAAACCACCATAGTTTAAAATATTGAGTGTTCTGATACATTAACATGGTGTATTTTTCCATTTCTTTAGGTTTTATTAAATTTGTCTCAATATGTTTTGTAGTTTTCAACATACAGGTCCAGTAACATATTTTGTTAAATTTATCCATTAGCATTTCATGATTTTGGGTCCTGTTTTAATTGATACTGTATTTTTAATTTCAATAACCTTTTTTTGGCTGCTAGTATATAAAATATAATTAATTTTTGAATGTTGAACTTGTATCCTGCAACTTTGTTTAATTATTATAGTAGCTTTTTTTTGTAGATTAAACATTTTTTTACATAGATGATCATGCTTTCTACAAATAAACATGAGTTTACTTCTTAATTTTTAATCTCTATGCCTTCTTCTACTTGCCTTATTGCATTGGCTAGGCCCTTTTGTACAATGTTGACTAAAACCAGTGGGAGCAGATATTCTTCCTTGCCTTGTTCTCAATCTTAGGGTATTTTACCATTCAGTACATTCGTAGGTTTGGTTTTTCAGAGATGACTCTTGCCATATTAGGGTCCCTTTTTATTTTGAGTTTGCTGACATTTTATCATGATTGGGTATTAAAGTTTGTCAAGTGCTTTGTGTGTGTGTGTGTTGTGTATGTGTGTGTGCATGTCTTTAATTATATGGTTTTCTTATTCGTTTTGTTAACATGGTGAATTAATTTGATGTTTGAATCTAAAAGCAGCCACACATTCCTAAGATAAGCCCTACTTCATCATGTTGTATTATCCTTTCTCTGTATCACTATATCTATTTACAATATTTTTTAAAAGAATTTTTGCATCTTGTTCATGAGGGATATTGTTCTGTAGTGTACTTTTCTTGGGATGTCTTTCTCTGGTTTTGGTCCCAGAGAAATGCTGGTTTAATAAATCAAGTTCCAAAAATTTTCCTTCTCTCCTGTTTTCTAGAAGAGTTCATGTAGGATTAGTATTATTTGTTCTTTGAATGTTTAATACAATTCATCAGTGACACTATCTGGGTCTGGAGGTTTTTTAAAATTAGGTTTTGTTTTTTTTTTGCATTGTCATTGATTTTAAGTAAAGCTTTTATTTTAAAACAATAAATATAAAAGTTGACAATATAGTGAGTTCCTATTTTCCCCTCACCCAGTTTCCCTAATGTTAACATGTTATATAATCACTAGAGTCCCGATGCACGAAATTTGTGCAAGGGGCTCAGCCCCCTCTGCTGTGGCGGCTGCCTGGTCCCCTGCCAAGGCAGCTGCCTCTGCCTCAGCCCCCACCACCGTGGCTTTGTCTGGAAGGTCGTCCGGAAGTATGTCCAGTCTAATTAGCATATTACGCTTTTATTATTAAAGATAGTACATTTATCAAAACTAGGAAGTTAACATTGGTAAAATACTGTTACCTAAAGTCTAGACTTTATACAAATTTTACCAGTTTTGCCACTAATGTTTTCTAGGATCCAATCCAGGCTACCACATTGCATTTAGTATTGAAACATTTTTAATTACAGTTCAACTCAATTAACATATATTTTCTGTTTCTTCTTTTGTCAATTTTAGTAGTTTTTATCTATTAGGAAATTTGTCCATTTCATCCAAGTTGTCAAATTTATTGGCATAAAGTTGTTATAATATTTCCTTATTATCCTTTTAATGTCTGTATTAATGTCCTTTATTCCATCCCTAGAATTTATAATTTGTGTTATCTCTCTTATTGGCATAACCATATACTTAGAAATTTATCATACTTTTTTTTTCTACCAACCAGCTTTCGGTTTTATTGTTTCCTCTATTGTTTTTCTATTTCCTATTTCATTTATTTTTGCTCTTATTTTGATTATCTTCTTAATCTTTCCATATATTTTGGGTTTAATTTGATTTTCCTTTTTATTTTTTTAGCTTTTTGGTGTGGAAACTTAGGCCACTGAGTTTAATTTCTCTCTTTTCTAATAAAAGCATTTAAATTTCTCTCTAAGCACTGCTTTAACTGCATTCCACAAATTCTGGCATGCTGTATTTTCATTTTTATTCAGTTCAAAATATTCTATAATATCCTTTGTAATTTCTTCTTTGACTTACAGAGTATTTGTGTTTTTTAACTTATAAATATTTAGGTATTACATATATGTTTATGCTATTGATTTCTAATTTAATACCATTGTGATCAGGACATACTATTCATGATTTAAATCCTTTTAATCTTATTGAGACATTTTTATGGCATATCATATGGTCTTGCTTCCTGAATATTTCTGGGCACTTAAAAAGAATATACATTCTGCTGTTGTAACCTGTTCACAGTTTACATATTCAAAAATTAAAACTGAATCAACAAATATGGGGGAAAACTCACTTTAAACAAAAATAAGACCAAATGAAAAAACAATTCAAGTAATTTTTGAACAGAGTATTTTCTGTGCTCTGTGTAGAATATTCTGAGGACAACAACAACAACTAACTACAAAAAAACCCTGAACTTAACTTAGTGAGTTTGCTGCTGGTAATAGTAGGGGAATAGTAAGTTATTTTGTGTGCCATACAGGACTGAGCAAATGAGTACATAATGAAGTTGCTGGAAACCAGTATTCTCACTATGATAGAGGAAGATACAAACATGGAGTGGGTAGAGGAGAAGAATAATTCTGTGGTTTTGGATTAAAATTGGGGGTATCAGTATAGATTCAAGATTAAAACCTATATATTTCTTGGCTCTGTTTTTTTAGGGGTCCAGAAATGATGACAGCACAATGGCAGTGAGCACACCTAGATGAGCTTGGTTTCTAAATACTATTCACCACTAAAAAGATCAGGATTCCTTGAAGCAACAGCTGAATCTAGGTTTTGGACAGGAAGAGGACCAGGTAAACGTGCAACATCTTGTGTCAATAATTAAGTATTAAAAACTGATGGGGTGTGTCAGAGGACTCAGGACTCATCTTTTTTTAAAAAAAATATATTATTGATTTTTTACAGAGAGGAAGGGAGAGGGATAGAGAGTTAGAAACATCGATGAGAGAGAAACATCGATCAGCTGCCTCCTGCACACTCCCTACTGGGGATGTACCCGCAACCAAGGTACATGCCCTTGACCGGAATCAAACCTGGGACCCTTGAGTCCGCAGGCTGACGCTCTATCCACTGAGCCAAACCAGTTAGGGCAGGACTCATCTTAATAGGGCTTTTACTTGCCAAATTTGGGACAATTGGACCTTCAAAGAATA